TGTGGTGGTGATCATTCTCACTGAATAATTGAGTTTTAAAATATTTACATTACTCTCTAATAGCACTTCTCATATAACCCTATATATCAAAAGGAATAAAATGTTTCATTCTCTAGCAGTTCAATTATTCTAAATATTGACTATAAAGTTTAAGCCAAACCAAAAAGAGTTAGAATTTTCATTTTTGATATATTTTGGTTTTGAAAACTACATCAAAGTGTCCAACATAAAAGCATTAACATAGCACACTATTTCCAAATAACCATAGGCATTTTTATTAATATTTCAACCAATAAAAATTGCTGCAGTTAGCATTACCATTTGAAAAACTGTCACGAAATGGTTAAAGGAATTGTAATAGTTTCACAATTGAATCAAAGGGAAAACTGTAAATCTCTTAAATTCCTTGACTCAAATGACCGTTCTTGGCCAGCAATATAAATATCAATTCTAAAATGATATCAAATTAAATTTTTACGTAATCCTTTGGAAAGATTACAGGAAAATTGAACACCTAAAAAAAAGGTTTTTTAAGAGAGTGTGACGGATTCCAAATGAAAATCAACAATGTGAAAATTGGCTAAGCCTACTATTCAAATCATAGTTATATTAAATTCTCTTCTACTTACTTAACACTTGTCCCCAATGTAGGACAGGCCACAAAAACTGCCCCAGTTTCTCCACCCACCTTTCCACCTACCTATCTCAACTCAATTCAATCAGCAAGCATTTGTCAAATGGTTACTTTGTGCCAGGCACTGAACCCCTGCTATAGAAGCTCCCTTCAACAAATGAAATCACCACAAAGCTATCCTCAGATATCTTCAGCGTTGCCAAGAATCCAAGTTGGAAGGGATTGAGTCAGAAGGTTTGATCTAACATACAGGTGAAGCAGAAATGCCCTCTACAACCCCCCTCACAAGAAGTCCTACAAACTCCACTTAAAACCCTCCAGACATTGCCAACACACAACTTTCACTGAAGGTGCCCATCCTACTTTTGGACAGCTTTAATTATGAGAAACTTTTTCCTTATATTGAACTAAAACATGCTGCAGAATATTCTCTCAAACAAGGCAAAAAATATTTATCAAAAATCACTATTTTAGTACCTTAGTTAAAGGTTTAAATAGCCTAAAAGAGACAGCATTTGGAATCACATTTTTAAAAAACAAAAATTATTGTCCAAGACACACATAGATTCATGATAGAAAGCAAATTCACTGGGTTTGGTGCAAAAGGACTTGAGCTAAAAAATCCTTACTCTGCTATTTACTAACTCTGTAACCTGGGATCAGGCCCTTTGTAAAAGGAGGGTTGGACCAGATGATTTCTAAGACTTCTTCTAGCTCCAACCTGTCAGCCTACAAAATAACTGTGTTACAGCTGTCTGGGACAAGAGCTACATATGACAATATGCTCAAGGCTTTTGAACAATCAGCTTTTAAAAACTTCTCAACAGGGAAAACTTCTTAAGAAAGTGTTGAGAAAATACAGAAACTAAAAATAGAATCTAAAATATGAATGCATCATGGGAAAAAATGGAAACTTCATGACAGACTTGTAAAGGCCTCTTTAAAAGCAGGGAGGCAGAAAGTGGCCGGTGACATGGCACTTTCCCATGGACAACTGTCATACTCATCTACCACAACCCTATTGTTTGTTGCAGAAACATTCCCCCTAGTGAACCTGTCCTGTTGACACTCCCAGATGAGTTAACAGTGACTAAAACGATCACTGGGGCAAGGACAACATGAATTGCCAATGTAAAGCATGTGCCCAATACAAAATAGAAACAAGGATTAATAAACTCTCCGTAATATCTACCAACACTCAGCAAGAGACTTCTATGACTGCCAAGCACATGCCTGCAAGTTCATCTATAAATGTTTTCTTAATCCATTAATATACATGGACAACCAGAGTATATACTGATTTTGTAACTCTGGAGCATTTATATACATCAATTAAGCAAACTAAGCAACTTAGACCATTGTCTCACATAAAAAAAAAAATTAAGAAATAGAGTTTGTTGTGAATGTTTCCTTCCTGGGAAAAAAGAAGATATAAACAGGGGTGCCTGGTTCTTACTGTGCAAATTCACTCTCTATTTCCTTTTTCTGTCCTTTTAGGGGAGGGTTTTTTCAGCTATTAGAAAGCTTCTTGGGTTTCTGAGGAGGTACCTCGGTGAAGCTAATTATTTTTTTCTATATTTTTAAATTCGCACAGGAAAATATTTCTATATTTAGCTCATCTTTAAATCACAACCATCTTCACTTAACAGTACATCTGTTCAATCAATCAACAAGCATTTATTAAGCACTTACTAGGTACCAGACACTGGATTAAAAGAAAATCAAGAAACAGATCCTGCCAACAAGAAATTTACATTCTAATCCAGGAGAGGAGTGTATAAAAAACATATAAAGCACAAAAATAAAGTAAATAAAATCAAATATGTGCAAAGAGGTTAACCCCAAGGTCATCTGGGGGCCACCAAAAAGGGTGTGCAGAAGATGGTGCCTGAGCTAGAAAATGGGCCTCAATTTCCTTCTCTGTAGAATGAGAGATCTGTGAGGTCCCTGCTAGTTCTGGCTATGAAAGAGTCAAAAAAGAAACAGACACACATCAAAACCTCCACTTTGTTCTCCTTATGTCTTACAAAGGACAAGGATCTCAAATTGTGTAAGACTGTCACTTCAGTCTTGGTAATGTAAGTTGAAAAGAACTATTTTTCAATTTAAAAAATTTTATAGCATTTAAAATTTAATCTTTCCAAGTAAATACATGGAACAGGTAATGACACTGATTACCCAGAAGCTGGGAAGGAAGCTACCAAGAAGCCAGTTTGTTTCCTTTCAAACTAGCAATAATTACAGCACTGATTTTTAAATTAGTACTGTTAAACTATGTACAACACTAATTTGAATTTCAATTGTCAACCACAAGTAATGTTTGTTTATTTTGGTGAAAATGTAATAGCTTGAAACTGTCACTCCCCATCTTAAATTCAGTTTTCATGATATGAAAAAATATTTGTTTGTATGTAATATAAAAATCCAAATGTAATGAATTGAGATTTTATATTTTATATTAAGGAAGCTTTAAATCATTCATCAGAGTCATATAATTTCATGAATTGTTTTTAACAAAAGGTATAGTTTTTGCTTGACATAACCTTATAGAAAATGGTTTCTCCAGATAAAGGTTTCATTTTAGAAGGAAATCTATATTTCAGAGCAAGGTGTTTTAATTTTTAAAAATTTGTTATGTGATAAAATCAGAAAATGAGTAAAATGTAGTTTCATTTCTCAAAGCTAACTGAGGCAGATACTTGGAAGTCACTGGGAAGAGAAGGATCTTAGATTTAAAGATTGCAGTGACCTCGGTAATCTCTTTTGAAGAGACCTCCCAATCACCACAGTGATCAGCAGGGGGATCTAGTTCAATCCTCTCATTTTACTAGATGAGCAAAGAGAGGTAAAAACAGGTAAAGTATCTTTCCCTAGCTCCCCACCCCTACCCCCATTCCTCTGCTTCCAAATGCAGCCTTTTTTTCTACTCTAACATTGATTCTCAATTGAACATGTTAAATAAAAAGTGTGGAACATTTTCCCCACTTTGCATAAGGCTGATATCACTAACAAAAAACATTCATATTGTTTATTAGCTAAATAAAACTGAATTTTAAAAGTTTAGTTATAAATGTCATAGATATTTTTCTTCAGCACAAAATTATTTTAACAAAATAAACCTGTTTCAAAATATTATACAAATAAAATGTCTTAAAATAAAAATTAGAACATTTCATTCAAGCACAGTTCAAAATGCCTATTAAACTCCAAAGTAGAGATGTCTAGCAGGCAGTAGGTAACATGACTATAGCTCAGAAGAGATATTAGGACTAAAGATAAAGACTGGGGTGTCATCTGCAGAGAAATGATCACTGAACTCATGGAAGCTGATGAGAGAATGAGGAGGACCCTGAACAGAGCTCTGGTGTAGACCACCTCATACAGGGTGGTACATGGATGATGAACCAGAAAGGTAGATTGAGTAGTGGTCAGATCAGCAGGGTCACAAAACCCAGGAACAAGACAACACCCAGGAGGATAGGGCAGTCAGTGTTCACTAAAAAGAGGTAAAAACATAACCAGACTGGGAAAATAACACTGTTTTTAACAACTAAGAAATTCCTGGTAACAGCAGTTTGAAAGCAGTTTCAGTCCAAGAGGAGAGTTCAAAACCAGATTCCAAGGGGAAATAAGAGGGAGACGAGGAAAAAGTTTTCTTATTTTGGACCATGTCCTGTTTACTATAACAGCTGTTCCATCTTTACGACTTTTTTTCCCCAGGGAAAAAGACCTATTTGTACAAAAATATTTACAGCAGCTCTTCTTGTGGTAGCTAAGGATTGGAAATTGAGAGGATGCCATCAGTTGGGGAATGGCTGAACAAGTTGTGATATATGATTGTAATGAAATATTATTGTGCTATAAGAAATGACATGTCAGATGCTTTCAGAAAAACCTGGAAAGATTTACACGAACTGATGCATAGTGAAATGAACAGAACTAGGAGAACACTATACATAGTAACAGCAACATCGTTCAGTGAAGAAGTGTGAAAGGCTTAGCTACTCTCAGCAATACAAACATCCAAGACAATCGCCGAGGACTAATGATGAAGCATGCTATCTGCCTCCAGAGAAAGAACTGATACTGTCTGAACACAGACTGAACATGCTATTTCATTCTTTCTTTCTTTCATTCTTTTTAGTTGAGTCTTCTTGAACAAAATGACTAATATGGAGATGTTTCACATGACTCCACACGTATAACCTATATCAGACTGCTTACCATCTCAGGGAGAGGGGAACGAGAGATACAATTTGGAACTCAAAAAAATGTTAAAAAAACAGCCTTAACATGTAATTGGGGGGGAAATAAAATATCATACTTTTCAAAAGACTTTTTTTCCCCAACCCCTTTCCCATGCTACCTATCTTTGTACTCTCCTCTGCAGTAATTCTCTTCTTTGCTGCTGTTCAGTCGTTTCACTCATGTCCAACTCTTCATGACCCCACTTTTGGGTTTTCTTCACAGAAATACTGGAGCAGCTTGCCATTTCCTTCTCTAGCTCATTTTACAGCTGAGGAAACTGAGACAAACAGGGTTAAGTGACTTGCCCAGGGTCACAGAGCTAGTAAGAGTCTGAGGACAGATTTGAACTCAGGGTCTTCCTGATTCCAGGCCCAGCAGTCTACGCACTGCACCACCTAGCTGCCCCCTCCCCGAAATCTCTATTGTCTTTTAGCCACTTCTTCTATTGTGCCCTCTGTAATCCCTACATTATTGTTTTTAAAAAAGTCCTTCTTCTTCATCTCACTCACCTTCCATCTTCTGTTTTAACTTTAGAATGGTTTTCCTGTAAAGACTATACATCCCTTGTCACCATCTCCAATGCTGGCCACTTCTCTCATGACCCTCTAATTATAGCAAGAGCCTGCACACTTCCTTCCTCCTCATCACCACCTTCCAACAGTCCCTCTGCCATCATGTTTCAGCCACCTCTCTTTGTGTGGAATTAGTTTCATCCAATTATACTATGCTGTCTAGCTCCTTGTTGCTGTCATCTGTTAACTGCCAAGGCACTCTCTCTCTTTTCTCAATGGCCATGTAAACTAGTTCAGACTTCTTCTAAAACCCTGCCATTACATCTGGCAGCTTCCAGATACATTAGGACGACCCTTTGAACACCTTGGCCTTACAGTTTAGCAATCTCCTCGATTCCTATGACCTGTTTCCACTTGACTTCTGCCACCCACAGGGGAGGTCATGCCTTAGAAATCACCATCACTGCTAACTGCTGCCCCTCTAAGATCTATCATGAACACTGAAATTCTCTTCTCTGAATACCACCTTTATCTGGTTATGAGCTAGAAAGGACTTTATAGATCATCAAATCCTACCTCCTTCTCTCATATTACAGATACAGAAACAGAAGCACACATTGAAGTGACTTGCCTGAGGTCATACTGATAGAAGGGGGTAGAGGGGAGATTCAGGCCCAGGTCCTCCTGCACCATCCTCCTCCTGGCCTTTTACTTCCTTCACTACCTCACTGTTTGGGAACCTTCTCTTTGCTATTATTACGGCCTCCCATCTTCCTTGTTCTCCTTTTCCATCCCTCTCACTTTTTTCCCTTTATAGTCTTGAGTCTATAAGCTTGACAGTTAAACAAGGGATGAAGTCTTGAAGCCTTTGGCCCCTTCTCTTTCCCACTATTTCTGCCCTGATCATCTTTAACAGTCGCCTTCATCATTGAATGGCCTTCTTCTTTCTGGAGCCACAAATGTTGTTGGAAGAAGTCAAAAAATAGTGTTATCGAAGTGCAGCTAAGCCCTCACCACTCCACAGCCCTGCTTTTATTCACCTCTTATTGACACATGCCCTTGAATCCCTCTCTTGCCATCTCTCCCAAGGGATGATCCAGAGCCCCCTCACTAAGCAAGCTGCTTAAAGGAATACCTGCTAAAAGGAATCCCATCACCAGGCTCCCCTTTTCCACTGACGGAATTTACTAATTCAGGGCACTCCCACTCCACACTTCCCCAAATGAAAATCACAATTGCTAGGTCTGTTGATATGGTCTGAGGTTGGCTCTTAAAAATCTGCTCACACTAGGAGATTAGTGATCTACTTCTTTTGCTTCCTCATCCATGTTCAAGAGTGATGGAAGGATCAGGCAACAGAGCTTAGGTCAGTGGCCTGTAGTCTGATTTTTAACCCAAGTCCAGTATTTTTTCAAACTCTAGGCTAAGAATCTATACTAATTTCACTGGTTGGCTTAGTTCTCTTGAAACACAAGTCTGAACAACAACAACTAAGAAAAAAAATTAAATTCACTCTGCTCTAAGAACTACAAGATATGATTTCCAAAATGGTGGAAAGGGTTTATTTCAGATGAGCAGACATTTTTCTTTGAAGGGAACTGGTTCTCAGATATTAATTTAGAGAGATCTAACAGGCACAGTGGACCTTTCCACGACCAGTCTAATATTTAATGATGGTATTTGTATAAAACAGAACATTCATTTTCACCTGTTCCCCTACCTTCTCTTTAAAATCCATCATTTTGTCAAAAGACATGAAACACAGCTGGCTGGTACTCTTGGCTATGGAAACACACAATCTTGGAGCTAGAAGGAACTTCACACTTCATCAAGGTCAGTTCCTGCATTGCACAAGTTACAAATGAAGTCCATTTAGATAAAGGCACGGATGAGTCATTAACAACAGAACTTGAACCAGGCAGGTTTTCTGACTCCTAGGCTAGTGCCATTTCTTCTAAGACATACTGCCTCCAACACTACTTTTTTTAAAAGTTCCCTTTTTGCCTTCACCCAGAATTTAACTGAAGACAGATTAAGCTCATTTTAAAAGATGAAAATAAAATATCTGAAGTTACTAAAGCATTCACAACTTAACAACCAGAAGCTAACAATTCTATTTTCCAATCTGCTTTGAAATTTCCACAAAAAATGAATATAATATATTTTTAAGCAATTAAAATTGTTTAGCACCAACATATTCATGTATTCCTGCTCCAGTTTTTTAAGTACTCAAGTTTCTTGGTTAAACTCCTGAAACTGCAGAACAAGTAACACTGCAAGTTATTTCTAGAAATGCTTATCATTGACTATAATACTAAGAGGGGAAAATGCCCCACATAGAAAAAGCTTTTCTTTTTTTTCTTTCGACTGCCATTTTAACTGACATGATAGCTTTACAGAAGGAAAGTGACAGGGGCAACCTTTCATTTTTCTGCCACTCAGACGGTAAGGACAATTCTCAGTGTTTCAGTCGCTTTCTGCCAGTAAAAAATGCTCTTTAAATACAGTAGTTTGCATCGTAATTGTTTACCAGATCATAGGAATTAGAGCTAGAAGGAAGCTTTAATATCATCCAGTCCAACCCCATCAATTTTCAGGTAAAAAAAAAAGTGACATAGTGCTTTGCCTGAGGTCACTCAACAAGTAAGTGGGAGAGCTGGCATTTAAACCGTGCTGCTCCATGACAAAGTTCATTGTTCTTTCAACTTCTTTGTCAACTTCAGTTTCCTCTCTTTTACTATTTGAAAGCCTAAGAAATTTGCTCTGATTTCCCCTTTCTCTAAGTCTTTCCTACCTGTCCCCTCCCTACCGGGGGGGGGGGGGAGACTTGTTCCCAGCAAGTCAGAAATCTTTCCTACAATTCCCCTGAAAATATCAACAATTGGGGTACCTACGTCAATGCTGGAGAGTCAATTCCAATATTCCCTGATCAATGAGAACTAGAGCTGGTTTGGGTCTCCTTTGAAAAGCTCATCCACACAGTACTGCAGAAGAGATCCACCTGGTTAATGATTGCATGGCAAAGAGGGAAAGAATGACACATGGGAAGTCAGAAGGCCTTAGGTGAACCCTTCTGGCCAGGAGACGAGGGAGAAGGAACCAGAAAAACAGACAAAACCTTCTAGACAATACTGGCCTTACTAATCATTAGTACAAGTTTTTCCATCAGAGCAGCGAGTTCTCTCCTAAAATTTCTTCACTGCTCCTTCAATATTTTCCTACGATCCAATACCAATTTCTATTTTTAAAGGAATTTTTTTAATGGAAGACCTTAGTCCTGACCCATTCTAGTGTGCATGTATATGTATGTGTATTTTTTAACATCTGTGTACTACTCAGCCAACTCATGGAGTTGTGGATAAATCCATTCCATGTCATTAGCACTCAAACATCAACAACAATAGTGATAATAAATGCTCATTTATATTTTAAAACCATATTAAAATAACTAAATTATTAGACTGATATCAGATTGTAATAAAGCACTCCTCAAGACTTCCTGCCTTGCCTAATGGTCCAAAATTCCACGATCAATATTTTATGAGGTGAATCATTCATTTGTGGTGCTGCCCAATTCAATAACAGGTCTAAGCTGTTGACATCTTACCAGGGAACATAAACATAAATTTGATCTACTCTTACAGCAAGAAACTCAAAGTGACAGCATGGACAACAGCAACAAACTAGGATAAATGGGAATGTGCCCAGCTTCAGGCTAGACTGTCATTTTAATTAAAAAATTACCTTTTCTCTAAAAGCAAAAGCTCCCAAGACCAAGTGTACATGCACCTCTCTGCAAAGTCCAATGGAAACGCTGGGCTGGATTCTCAAAGCTCTAAAAGATTCTGTGTACCAAGCTGGTTGTCTGGAACTCAGACTCGAATTCAGACTCAAGCGTTCTAGAGAAATAATGCTATGGTGTTTAGGTTCCCAAACCAGCCCACCAAGTCTATCTAACTCAAAGTACATACATGCACAGCTGCTCAGCTGGATACGGAAATACATTTCACTCAATAGAAAAACAGGAGGGAAAAGGCAGAAAGGGGAATTAGAAGAAAGGCAGATTAAGGAAGGGATTAATCCCAAGCAAAACAACCTCTAAAAACGTACAAAAATATTTATAGACTTTTTTGAAGTGATAAAGAATAAGAATCTGAGGGGTTCCCCATAAATTGAAGAATAGCTAAAAAATTATGATATATAAATTGATAGAATACTACTGTGCTAGAAGAAATGATGAAGGGGATAGTTTCAGAAAAATATGAGAAGATTCGTATGAACTGATACAAAGTGAAGTAAGTAGAATCAGAATATTTACACAATGACAAAAACATGGTAGAAACAAACAACTTTGAAAGAATTAGAGATTCTGATAAGCATAATGACCAACCATAATTCCAAAGGACTAATCACCAAACATGCTGCCCACCTCCTGAGAGAGAGGTGAAGTACTCAGAGTGCAAAATGAGGCATGGAGGGGAGGTGGGAGGGGAGGCCAATGTGGGTATTTGTTTTGCTCATAATAGAGATTTTGTTTTTCTTTCATTTTTAATTTGGACAGCATTGAAGGAAGAAGAAAAGACGGACTTTTACTGATTAAAAAAAATACAAAAATTTTTAAAAGAAAAATAATGAGTTCAGTTTGGGACATACTGCATTTAAAATACCTACAGGACATCCTGTTCAAGATGTCCAATAGGCAATTGGAAATATAAGTCTAGAGATCAGGAGAGAGGTCCTCTAGTGTTAAATAAGTAGGTCTGAAAATCATATGCATAGAGATGATAAGTAAATATATAGCAGTTGATGAGATCACCAAGTGAAATAGTATAGAGGGAGAAGAGGGCCCAGGACAGAGCCTTGGAAGACACCCACATTTAGCAGGCACAAACTAGACAAAGATTCAGGAAAGGGCACTGAGGACTGGTCAGAGAGGTGAAGAGGCAAGCGTGAGCAGTGTCGTGAAAATCTAGGGAGTAGAGGAAATCAAGAAGAGGGTACTCAGCAGTGTCAGCGACTGCAGAGAGGTCAACAGGGATGAAGACTGAGAAAAGGGCATTATATTTGGCAACTAAGAGATCAATGGTGACTCTAGAGAGAAAAGTTTCAGTTAAGTGATGAAGTTGGGAGCCAGACTACAGAATTAAGAGAATGAGAGGAAAACAAGTAGGAGTGCTGATTATAGACGGCCATCTCAAGGAATTCAGCTACAAAAGAGAAGAGAGATATAGGGTGATAGCTACTTAGAATAGAAGGCTCCAATGAGGGTATTTTTAAGGATGGCAGAGATACAGGCATATTTGCTGGCAAAGGGAAGCAGCCAATAGGCAGAGAGCAGTTGAAGATTAGTGAAAAAGCAGGGACGATAAAAGAGATAAACTGCCCAAGGAGACAGGATGAAATGGGATTACATGTACATGCAGAGAGGTTTGCCTTGGCCAGGAGATGGGGTAAAAGAGACATCATGGGGGAAAGCATCCTAGTAATGTGAAATGAGGATGAGGAGGAGAGGAGAGGAGCTCTCTGCAAATACAGAGATATAGGTTCAAAGACGTCTGCAGTGTTGTAGAAAGTGTTCACATAATACCCCCCCAAAAAAAAAAAACAGAAAAAGATTTCCCTCTTTCCAAGGTTCTCAGTTTTCTATTCACTATAATGCGCACCAATTTCACTAAGTCTTAGAATACTACAAAGTTTTCTTTCTTTATTACAAAGTAATGTGAAACAGATTGGTCTTTTGACCAAAACTGGAAAAAGAAAGGCGCTGAAAACCCCATTATATTCCAGATAATGGTATGCAACATTATTCGTCCCCGGGTTACACTCCTGACTCTCGCAGGACTTTCTCTCCCATGCCATAGAAAGCTCTTGACTCTGGAAGCTCAGCCTACCTCTGGCCTAACCTTCCACACTGGAAGTGCTCTGAAGCCCCACGGCCTCTCCTTCAGAGTGGCCACTTCCGCCCAGAACCTCTATTTCAAGGAGGAGGCCCAGGTCAACCCAATCTCCCTCCACTCCTAGCTGCACTCCTAACTCTCTGGACTTTCTTTACCATGCCTCAAGCCTGGCACCTTTATCTTCTGCTCTGGCCTCTCAAATTTTAGCTTCCTCTCACGCATTTTTGCTCCCCATTAGAATGTAATCTCCTTGAGGACATGGGCCGTCTTTCTTTCTGCTTGTGTTGGATTCCCAGCGGTTTGACAGTTCCTAGCACATGCTTGTTAACTGGCAAGTCTAGATCAATTTTAGGAAACTATATAATACTTTCAATGATCCCATGCTTCCACAATTACAAAAGCTCATCTTGCTAACACTGATATTCTTCCACTGCGGTAATATGGCTACAAATCATGGAACACTACTAGCCTCAGACACATTAAAATGAGGAATAATCCAAAGGGCAACAGATTCACAGCAGGAGGTCACTACTAATGATAGCGTGTACTCAAGAGGAATAAAAGACCATTAATGAGGAGGATATGTATGGCATGAGATCACATAGTAAGACTGAGATTTGAGAAATGGACAATTAGAATGCCTACACTCCTAAAGATATTAAAAGAATAAGAGGAAAGCATCGAACACATAATGCGTCCCAGGATTTGTGGGAAAACATGGAGGAGACAGGATGGATTGGGATTCCTTTTACATATAGAACATGAGATGGGAATATAATGATTGGTGAAGAAAGAACCCATGAAGTTATGGCTTCACCAAAGTACCCTTGTAACACATCTTAGCTAAAACCATGACTGGCAAGGAACTGAGAAGGGCAAAAACAAAAGCTGCCAATTCTTAGGGGTCAGGAGCACTTACATGGCACTGGTCATCTGAAGGTTCA